TGTGTGTGTGTGTGTGTACACATTTGTCTGCTGGTAAAGCCTAGAAGCCATGACATTTCCATCGTAGTGAGTACCCTAGCACCAAGATCTTGTTTCGAAGATGCCATTCCCTACTGAAGATACCAGAGACCTTTGGAGAAATGGTATTCCAGGGCTGAGGCAGAGGAAACTCAAGACCAGCCCAGAACAAATGGTTGTGCCACATTAACACCTGCCAGCAGAGAGGTTGACGGAGTGTCACTATAAATATCAAAAGTCCTGATCATAGAAAGCCACCACCTCTCGAGAACAGCATGGAGCTGGGACAGCTTGGTCAATGGAGAGGAGGGCTAATAAGAACCAGGATGAAAAAGCTGAAGAACATTGAAAACACAATTAGAATAAAGGGATGATTAACTGTCTGCCAATTCCCTTGAGAAGAGGGGTTAGAAATTAATACTCCAATTAATTTATGCTGCATGTCAATTTTAACTTTATTATATGAACAATTATGCTTAAGTTAATTTAAATCTAATTTAAATACTCCCAGATTATCTTTATTAACATAAAATATTTTTAGATTTTTGCCATAGGGTCATAGATCAGGACCCTAGATCAGGACCCTCCAAGAGCTCCACATGTCTTGGTCCAGTCCTGGTAGAGGTTAGATCTTAGAAAAAGTAATTATTAGACCAGCAGTTAGCGTAATGGCTATGTTGCTGGACTCCCACATAGTCGACCGCGGTTCGAGTCCCAGACCTGGCGGATTAAACACACACCGGGCACGTGTGCGTGCGTGCGTGCCCAAGATCCCGAGAGGAGAATGAAGAAGGGATTGTGGCCTGGCCATCCCCCCTGGGGGGTGATTTCTCACTTTCTGTCTCTCTGTCTCTCTCTCTCTCTCTGTCTGGTCAGTGCACATACCCTATAGCAAAAACCTCTCCAAAAAAAGTATATATATAAAAAAGTAATTATTAATGTAATTCGGAAATCAAAATACTAATACCAGATGTATTTTATCAGTTCTTGTTTTATAAATAACTTGATAACTTTCATGTAATTTAAAATATCCCAAACATGTCCTCCTTCTTACCAATCTAGTTGACCAATGTCAATCGAATGGATAATCATAGATACCTTATCTATGCAGTTCCTGCCAGTGGTAACCCCTCAACTGCCAAACAAGGGAAGTTTCTCTGGTCTTCAGCAAGAATGGAAACTATCAGGGGCTGGTTTCTCTAAGCTACCTCTTCCTACAGTGGAGATTGTTATTGCACTAACGGCAATGCTCTAAGAGGTCCAGAATGATCTTTGAATGGTCCATTTTCCACACACAAATTATGGTAGAGACTAAGAGGTGCTGCCTCCCACCTCTGCTTCTCCTCTCCTCTCCCCTTCCACAGTCAGAAAACTTTAACCTGGGCATATGCCTGCCTAGACATAAGACTGCATTTCCTAACTCCCTTGACTTTAAATGTGGCCTTATGACTGGATTCTGGCCAATGGAAAGTGAGGAGAAATCAGGTGTGTGAGTCTCCCTCAAAGGAAAAGACCTGTGTCTTCCTCCCCCACACTTTTCCCCTGTTCTCAGGCTGGAGGGTGGAGGCAGTGATGAGCTGTCTCAGCCATTCAAACACTGAAAACTCTTAGAGAGGCAAATGGGGAAAGAGCCCGGGTTCCCGACATCACCGACCCTCCATGCCAGCTTGGGACACCTACCTCAGTTGTTAGTAAAGAAGTCGCTCTTACTCGTTGACCACTGGATCCTGTATTCTGATGTTACAGTGGCCTGGCCTGGGTCCTAACTAATACATAATGCATTCATTCACTCTGTCTGGTGAAAAGGAAATGTAGAAAAGATAAACTTACCAGTCGTTCTGCCATGACCAGGAGCGTGTTCACCGCATCCAGGCGATGACTAATGTCCTCCCAGTATGAAGTCAGGGTGACAACTGGCTTTACGTGAGCCCAAGGCAAGTAATAATAGTAGTTCCCTGGTACAGAACATTGAGGTCAGTGGACACTGGACACTTAGGATACACAACATGTTTATCAGAGAGGTGCAGGCTGAGCTGATTAAACCAGAGGCCTGGAGATGCTTCGGGTGGTCTGGTTCTTTAATTCTATTCAATTAACCAACTCAAGGATAGATAATTTTTAAGAAAGTGTTGCCAGAGGACCTGTATTTGCCAGAGAGAGGGGGGAGGGGGGAGGGAGGGAGGGAAAGGGAGAAAACCCTGAGTATGTGGTGCATGGTCATGATGCAATCTTTTCTCTTCCATCTCCCCAGCCTGTCAGGATCTTGGGCATACAGACATGTGCTTAGTGTGTTTTTCAAGCCATCAAAGCCAAGATTTGAATCTCAGTTGGCCATGAAGGACCCGACTCTCCATGCAAGGCATTAACCACTGTGCTATGGGGGCACGCTGGGGCTGGTCAAATGAAACGATGGGGCCAGCAGGTGGCATGATGGTTAAAGCAATGAATTCCCACATGGCTGACTGTGGTCCAGGTTCTGGACCCAGAGGCTTGAAATCACAACAAATCAATAGATAAAGAAATTTTTTTTTAAGTTCTGAATGAAAAGAAAAATAAACTTTTCATTCAGCCTGTTTTGAAAATCTCTGTAAAATACCCTTTAAATTGAGCACGACAATTGCAGGATCTCTTAGAGATTCCAGGACATGCATGTGAACATGATTACACACGACGACAGCAGAAAATACAATAGAGCACAGAGGAGATTACATGGAATGTGTTTGTCTCCCCATATGGTTATTCTAAATAGTATTTTTGTTGGAGCAAAGAATTAAACAATTAAAAAGGTTTCTGTTCTTTGAAAACCTTAGCTGCCTCCATAGGATTTGATATTACTTAGAGCCTTACTGTGGTTAAAAATTATTAGCTGACATGTTCCAGGGTAGTTTATATTTTTAAACCACTGGTACAAAAATTAGGTAAGAATTATGGTAACATTGTGGAGACACTCAATCAGAATGCCTCTCTCTTTTTCTATATTTTTGAACCATTTGTTGATACTTAGGGCGTTCTCATACTTTGTCTTCTATTGTAACTTATTGTAAACACTAGAGTGTAAAAGCAGGGGCTGTTTCTCACCACCTTCATTCAAATCCAGCTCTGTAGAAGGTGAAGAGACTGAGGGTTACAATGAAGCGATGTGGGTATGGTCGGGGTGATGGTGAGTAACAGCAAAGACTAGACGTTTCCTTTTCCAGTGCCTGAGCCAGAGTCCCACCTACCAACTACTCAATTTAAGAAAGATTTGGGGCTTAGTAAGGGCAGGAGCTGTTTTGGGAGCTCAAATTTAGTAGAGCTGCCATATCAGGGCCTCACAAGGCAGAGCTGTGTTAAAGGGGCATGGGGGTGGGAGGCACTGGGATTCAGCTCTTGGTGGGGGACCTGAAACTCTGGGCAGCCTTGAAGGTGTCTGTACACCAGCCACTCTTCCTCACTCAACGTCCTCCTTTCCACTAGCCTTACGCTGGGGATCGTGACTATAGAAGGACAAGATGGTACACGCTTCTCGTCCTGAGGGGCACCCACTGTAAAAGGCTGAGGGGAGAATGGTTGGTGCCAATCTTACCGTCAAATACGGCACGGCTGTATTGAGTCGTTGATGCCAAAGGCTTGCAGGTTGTGTCAAACTTGTTGCCATAGTTCCCAATGCTGACCTCGAACTGAATGGCCTCTCCAACATCTTGCAACATGGTGGCCGAGTGGAACACGGCGGACAGACAGTACTTCCGTCTCCGCTGGTACTTCTGTGAAGTATGAGCAGACACGGATTCAGTAAAAGTCCTTTCCCTTTCTCACCTGGGGACTGCTAGCACATGGAAGTCTAAACCTAATGACTAGTGCCGAATTATGACTCGAGGAGAAGGTTCTCAGACCCAGCAGGGCCACTTGTGCTCATGAAAGTGGGCAAAGCTCGAAGTATGAGGATGTTCATTGCAACATTGATTGATTAGAGGGGAAGAAAGAAAAACAATGCAAATGTCTGTAGTAAGCTACTGGTTAAACAACCAAGATCTTATATATCCGTATAATGGAATAAAATTTCATAAAAAAGTCTTATATATTTTTTTACATGAAAACATCAAAAATGATATTTTTAGTGGCTCCATTAAATATATATTTTAATACTGGCATACACATGAAAGGCCTGTAAGACTTATAACAATAAACTTAGCTATTTATTTCAAGACAGAAAGAGAGAGAGAAAAATGCACCCTTCACAGAGTCTCCCATCATGAGTCTCTCACCTCCCCAGCAGCTTTCCCAGTCTGCCAGGATTACAGATGTGTGTGCACATGCACACACCCATCATGCTCAAGGTGACTTGGGAACCAAACCCTGATTTTCCATATGGCCTCCAGCATCGCATAGTTTTGCACTATGGCTGGGCCACCATTTTTAAATTAATTTAATTGGTTTAAGTATTAATTTTCTAATGGAAAATAGCAATAAAGATTTTTATATTAGATTTAAAATACATGATAATTAGGTGAACTTATTTTTCTGAATTAGAAATCAAATCTTTCTTCCTTCTTTTTAAATTACTGGTTTAAAGAGTCTTGTGTGTGGGGTCAGTAGGTGGCATGGTGGTTAAGGCACTGGATTCCCACATGGTTGATCATGGTTCGAGTCCCAGACCTGGGGGCTTGAAAAATCACAACAAATAAATAGATAAATATAAAATAAATTAAAAAATAAATGTAAGGAAAAAAAAGAAAGGAAAAGTCTGTGTGTACTTGTGTATGGGGCAATTAGATAAAGACAGAACCAATGATAGCCACACTGGATATCTAGCAGGCTTTCCTTCATGGACATATAAAGTCTTAAGTCCATGCCCTACCCCAAATCTTTGCCCAGTTATTATTTCTTCTGTTTTATGGACTTCCACATTTCCACTGATCTTCAGGAGTTTTGAATTCTACAGTCAGTCATGCAGTGATCTAAGTAGCTGAGCAGTCGCATATCACTCGACGACAGGGACACGTTCTAAGAAAGGTGTCATCGGGAGATTGTTTTGCAAACACCATGGAGTGTACTTATGCAGACCGAGATGGTATAGCCCATGACACACCTCGGCTATGGTGTAATCTTATGGGACCACCGTCACACCTGCAGTCCCTGTGGTCCAACACATTACGCGGGGCATGGCTGTACTTGAGGATGTCCTAGGCATGCTGCCATTTAATACTGTCCTCATCGAGTCTGTTCTGGAACCCTGTTGGTATCCAGTCTCCGGATACACCTGCCCGGTTAGAAGGTGTGACCACCAGGGCTTACTGTAGTGCAGCCACACTGGCTGTGTGCTTCACTGTCAAGCTTGTGAGACCCGTGAGTGAGCACACCTGAATTACTGGACACATTTCTCACCATGGCAAGCTTAGTTCTAAAGCCCCTGAGAGGGAAAGCCACCTCAGTAGTCCTTTAGTTTGACATTTGGGGGCCACACAGGTAATAAACTTTCCCACAATGACTCTTCCCACACAATGTATCTGTTCTATTTCACTGCTACCTTGCCATCAGTTTTTGTACCAAAATCCAGGTAGTAAAGGGGCTCAGCAGGTAGCATGATGGTTAAGGCACTGCACCCTGACATGACTGGCTGCAGTTTGAGTCCTGGACCTGGTGGCTTGCTTTCTCACTTTCACTTTCTCTCTCTCTCTCTGTTAAGCACACATGCCCATATATAGCAAATTTTAAAAATCATAGTAAAATTAAATAAATCATTCTTTTTTTTTTTTTTTTTAAAAAAAAGGAGGGGATGTCTTCCACCTCTAGGATGTTAATAATATCCTTATACAATATTTATTTATTTTTCTTTCATGGTAATATAGAGAGACAGGAACTCCCAGGAGGACCTTGCCATGCCCTGATTCTTCCCCCTGCCTCCCTGCCAGCAAGAAGACATCTGGCGTGTTCAAGTCGACTCAGGATCCAAACCCAGGCCTTTCATACCACGCCAGTATTGAGCAGTGCACCCTACTACCCCTGCCATCTTGGCTAGCCTTTGACTGACTTTCTTCCCTCATTATCCATCCATACAATGGCCTCTAAGCACCAAAATGAATCACAATCATGAGAGAGTCTTCTGGCTTGTATGAGGCAAGAATGTGGTGACACATTTACAGACGTACTCGGACAACCACTTCAAAACCCTTTTTAATTTTTTCGCCAGAGGGTGTGTGTAGCTCACTAGGGAGAGACAGAGAGAGAGAGAGACAGTGAGAGAGGAGAAAGCCCCTCCACTAGGGCTGGTCACACCTCAATGTCTCCTCCACCTCTCCCTCCTTTTGGGGTTTTGGGCATGAATGCACACAGGCCAGCATGTTATTCAAGCCTCCATGGCCAGGACCTGAACCACTTGGTTGGTAGTGTGGAATCCGGCCTGCCTTAATCACCAGGTCACTGAGAGAGCCCTCAAACCCGCTTTTTGACGACTGTGATTAAAATATACATAGTACAAAATGTACCGTGTGTGTACAGCTCAGCGGCAGTAAGCACTTCACCTTGCCACGCTACCATCGCCAACCACCCATCCACAGAACTTCTTTCATCTTGCAAGACTGAAACTCCAACCAGCAAATAGGAGCTTCCCTTTTTCCCTAGCCCCAGACTGGGAAACCACCATTCTACTTGCCGTCCCTGTGAGTGCTGCTACTCTAGGTGCCTCGCGCAAGCAGGATCACTCAGTATAGATTTGTCCTTTCATGGCTGGCTTACTTCATTTAACATGGTGTCTTCAAAGCTCATCCACATTGTAGCCTAATGCCCTCATCTCCCTGCTTTTATGGCTGAATGGTGTTCACGGTATGAATAAACCACATTTTGTTTTGCCATCATCCTCTGATGGACACTTGGGTTGCCTCCACCTTTTGGCTATTATGATTAATGCTGCTGTGAACCTGGGTGTACAAATCTCTTCAAGTCTCTGCTTTCAATTCTTTTGGGAATATATCCAGAGTGGAATTGCTAGATATTTTATGGTAATTCTACTTTTAATAATTTTTTTTAGGTTTTTGCCATAGGGCATATGCATTTGCCAGAGAGAGAGAGAGAGAGAGAGAGAGAGACAGAAAGAGGGAACGTGAGAAATCACCACACAGGAGATGGACATGCTGCAATCCCTTCCCCTCTGTTCTCCTATCGGGATTTTGGGCATGTACACACATGCACCCATTGTGATTTTCAAGCCACCAAATCTGGGACTCGAACTGTGATCAGCCATATGGGAACCCAGCACCTTAACTGCCATGCCATAGTCCCTCTATTTTAAATTTCTGAGGGTTGTTTAAGAATGTCTGATGGTGACAGTAGCTGTGGTCTTGAAGAACCCCTGAACATACCACTATTACAAAGTCTCCATTTTAATTAAAGGAATTTTTGACACGGTATAACAGAACCCTCCAATATGGTCTTATTAGAAACCTCTTTGAGTCTCAATCATTCCTGAAAGTCTTTCTAGAACACTGGTTACAGCCTGAGCCATACATGAGTCACCTAGGGGTCATCAGCCTGGACATTATGAATGCAAAAGCTTCCTTACCTCAGTCCACCATTACTGTGATGGGGGGGGGGCTTGGGGGACTTATGCTCCTTGTCAGGGGCTCTGTAACTACCTCTAACTGAACCCTTTGAACTATCCATAGTTCAAGGAGGCTGTAGAAATTCTGGGTTTGAGGAGACCAGCAGTTAGCGTAATGGCTATGTCACTGGACTCCCATGTAGTTGACCGCGGTTCGAGTCCCAGACCTGGTGGCTTAAAACTCAGGCCAGGCATGTGTGTGTGCATGCTCAAGATCCCGAGAGGAGAATGGAGGAGAAGGGATTGCGGAGTGGCCATCCCCCCTGAGGGGTGATTTCTCGCTTTCTGTCTCTCTGTCTCTCTCTGTCTGTCTGGCGAGGGCACATGCCCTATAGCAAAAGCCTCTCAAAAAAAAAAAAAAAAGAAAAAGAAAAAAAGAAACTCTGGGTTTGAGTTCAAATTGTTTAAAAATTACAAAGTAGGATATTATTCGTATTAGTCAGAACTTATACATATGGCATAACTTCTTTAAAAACTACCTAGGAAGATATACGGAAAGGGCAAAAGCTAAAAATAGGAAAGGTAATTTGGGGCCTGAGTCAGGACTTAGAAGAAAATGATCACTATTGAAGCCAGGGGCTGCAGAACAGAGGAGGACACCAAAAAA